TGTAAATGGATTAAATTATCCATTCAAAAGGTATAGAGTAGATAAATGGATAAAAAAAGAAGACCCAACTATATGGTGCCCCCGAGATACTCCTTTCAGCTTCAAGCAGAAAATACTTTCAAAGAGAAGATATGGAAAAAGATATTCCACAGAAATGGAACCCAAGAGAACAGGGTAGCTATACATGCATCAGAAAAAAATAGTGTTGAAGTAAAAAAATGGTCACAAGAGATAAATAGGGTCATTATATAATGAAAAATGAGTCAATTCATCCAAAAATATCATAGTTGTAAATATATATGACCATATCACAGAACCTAAATATATTAAGCCAACACTAACACATCTGAAGGTACAAAAAAAACCCAGCAGTAATCAGGGACTCCAATACCGCAATTTCAGCAACAGCCTGATAAAGACACTAGAAGAAAACTACAAATAAACATCCTTGATGAATACAAATGCAAAAATTCTCAACAAAATTCAACAGTACATTAAAAGATTATACACCATGATTAAGAGGGATTTATTCCGTGTATGCAAGGAGGGTTCAATAAAGATAAGGCATGTGATATACTACATTAATAGGATGAAAGATGAAAATCAACCATATGATCATCTCTATAGATACATAAAGTATTTCACAAAATTCAACATCCTTCCATGAGAAAAACTCTCAATAAATTGGATATAGAAGAAATATAGCTCCAACATAATAAAAGCCCTATTTGATGAGTCCACAGCTAACATCATTCTAAATAATGATAGGCTGGAAGGTCTCTAAGATCAGAAACAAGACAAGGGTGCCCACTATCATCGTTCCTGTTCAGCATCATAGTGCAAGTCCTAGCCAGACCAAATGGGCAAGAAAAATAAATTATTATTACTATTATCCAAATCCGAAAGGGAAAAGTAAAATTGTTTGTAGATGATATGATCTTATATACAGAAATTCCTAGACTCCTCCAAAAACCTATTAGAATAACCAATTGCAATAAAGTTTCAGTATATAGAAATCAGTTATGTTGCTACAGACTAACAAAAAAAATCTGAAAAATTTTTTTTTAAAAAGTCCCATTTACAATAGCATCAAAAACAATAAAATTCTTAGGAATAAATTTAACCAGGGAGGTAAAAGATATTCAAGAAAGAAAGGAAACAAATGGAAAAATATCCTGTGTTCATAGAGCAGAAGAATTTATATTGTTAATAAGTCCATACAACCTAAATTCAATGCAATCACTATCAAAATTCCAATGACATTTTTCACAGAGAAAAAAAAAAATCCTAAAATTTGTATGGAACCATAAAAAGATGCAAAATAGCCAACACAATACCGAGGAAGAATAAACCTGGAAGCACGAAATTCCCTGAATTCAAAGTATGTTATAATCAAAAAAGAATGGTACTGTCAGAAATAGACCAATGCAATAGAATTGCAAGCCCAGAAATAAACTCACACAAGTACTATCATCAAGTATTTGACACTACATCTGTATCTTTGGGGTAAATACAAGTACCCCAAAGATACAGATGTAGTGAAAAGGAGGGGCACATGCACCCCCAATGTTCATAGCAGCAATGTCCACAACAGCCAAACTGTGGAAGGAGCCAAGACGCCCTTCAACAGATGAATGGGTAAATAAGATGTGATGGAGTATTACTCAGCCATCAGAAAGGATGAATACCCAGCATCTGCATCGACATGAGTGGAATTGGAGGGGATTATGCTAAGTGAAATAAGTCATAACAGAAAAAGACAATTATCATATGGTTTCACGCATATGTGGAACATAAGGAACAGTGTGGAGGGCCACGGGGAAGGGAGGGAAAACTGGGAAGAAATCAGAGAGGGAGACAAACCATGAGAGACTCTGGACTCCGGAAAAAAAAACTGAGGGTCACAGAAGGGAGGGGCTGTGGAGATGGGGTAACTGGTGATTGGTATTAAGGAGGGCATGTATGGTGATGAGCACTGGGTGTTATACACAACAAATGAAAGGCTGAACACTACATCAAAAACTAATGATGTACTACTATATGCTGGCTAACTGAACATAAAATACATACATACATACCAAAATGGCAGAAAAACAAAACAAGTATTTGACAAGGGAGTAAAGGACACTCAATGAGGAAAGCATAGTCTCTTCAATAAAAAGTCCTGAGAAAAGTGGATCTTCACATGCCAGAGAATGAAAATGGACACCTATCTTATGCCAATCACAAAAATTAATTCAAAATGGATTAAAGGATTATACCTAAGACCCAAAACTATAAAACTCTTAGAAGTAAACATATGAAAAAAGCTCACTGACATTGGTCTTGACAATATTTTGAATATGACACCAAAAGCAAAAGTAAAAATGGGACTATATCACACTATAAAGCTTTTGCAAACCAGTGGTAACCATCAACAAAATGAAAAGGCAACTTACAGAACAGGAGAAAATAATACGCAAGTTATTCAAAAAAAATTAATATGCAAGTCATATGTTGGAAAAGGAGTCCAAATGTATAAGAAACTCACACAACTCAAGAAAAAAAATCCAATTAAAAAGTAGACACAAAACCTGTATGGGCATTTTTCCAAAGAAGACCTAAAAATGGCCAACGGGTACATGAAAAGATGCTCAAAAATCACCAATTATCAAGGAAATGGAAATCAAAATCACAATGAAGTAACACCTAATACCTATTAGAATGGTTATTATCAAAAAGATAAGAGGTAACAAGTGTTGGCAAGGATGTAGAAAAAGGAATACTTATGCACTGTTTGTGGGAAGGTAGAAGGTACAGCCACTATAGAAAACAGTATGGAGGTTCCTTAAAAAATTAAAAATACAACTACCATATGATCCAGCAATCCCACTTCTGGGTATGTATCTGAAAGCAATCATATTCTATCCTAAAGAGAGATCTGAACCCCCGTATTCGCTGCATTATTATTCACAATAGTCAAGATGTAGAAACCACTTAAGTGCTCACCGACAGATGAATATGGATATATATCTATCTATCACATTTCAGCCATAAAAAACAAAATCATGCATTTCCAACAACATGAATGGACCTGGAGAGCATAATGCCAAGTAAAATAAGTTAGAGAAAGGCTAATACTTTATGATCTTCCTTATATGCAGAATCTAAAAAAAGGGAGAGTAGAATGGTGATTTCAGGGGGCTGTAAGGTGGGGAAAACAGGGAGATGTTGGTCAAAGGGTACAAATTGCCAGTTATAGAGTTAATCTTAAATATTCTCACCATGCAACACACACACACAGAGGTAATTTATATGAAGTGATAAAGGTATTAACTAACTTTATTATGGTAATCATTTTGCAATATATACAGGTATCAAATCATTACATTGTATACCCTCAACTTTCACAGGATGTTATATGTCAGTTATTCCTCAGTAAAGCTTGGGTGGGGTGCGGCGGGAGTCCTTTCCTTATAGATAGCAAAGAAACAAACAAACAAAAAGCCTACTGTTTCTAGATTTATACATTGTTTTACTCAGCAGTGTGGGGTCTCAATGCAGCAATTATCCGAAAGGATATTTCTTATTTGTTCTACAGGATTAACCAGGCCACCTTCCCCTTTCTTTCCAATTGTACACCCTTATTTTACAACACTGATATCCTGGTCTCCACAGATGACCCCACAAGGGCCTATCATATCCTTCAAGCTCTTAACCTCTATGCAATGTCTCAAATTGAAGAGAGATCAGAATGGCTATTCAACAGCCAGCAGTGGAAGACTATAACTTCTTTCTTTCTTTATCCCCAGGGTGCAGAACATGGATTTTTGCCTACAAGTACCGCAATCAAAATCAATCAATTACCAACCATAAAATGGAGGGTTCTAAGTTCAGTATCTTCTTTAACAGGGCACTGTCACTTTGCCTTAGGTGACTCACAGGATATATGTCAGTATACAGAATAGAAACTTTTATTGGACCACGAGAACATCCAAGCCACATGTGGGTTCACTACCGTGGAATTTGCATGTGCTTTTTTGCCCTTTGTCTATGCTCTTTAGTCAAGCATGGCTTCAAATCTTTTGCCTATTTTCTGAATTAGTACACAGTAAAATTGATTTTTTATTCTTTTGGTGTACAGTTCTATAAATTTTGACATGATGAGGAAGGTTCCCCTTTAAGAGTTTGGCTCCTATAGTTTCCACTACCAACTGCTTTCATTGTCTCTATTGTTCTGCCACAGGATTGCATGAGGAATTGGGGTACAAGAAAATAGAAAAAAACACAAGAATCTCTTCTACTCTCCTTGAGCCAGAACTAGAGGTATCTCCTAGATACCTGTCTGCTCCAAATTGCCCAAACTCAAATCAAGGATGTAGAGATGCAGAAGGTTGGTAATTTTTTATCTACTAACTAAACGTCATCTTGAATGCTGGGATTCTTACCTGATCCACCTGATCTTTACATCAAATACCTGAGGAGTTTTGCATTCACTCCAGGTTTATAGTTCTGTTAGCAGAAGAGAGAGGCTAGTATGTTTATATACCATCTTACCTATAAACAGATTGACTATTTTTTTAAAACCATGATTTCTATCTTGTGGGTAGCAATAATTCTTCACATATTCTAGATATATGCCCCATACACATATATTTTCCAAATATTTTCTCTGAGTCTATGGATTCTTTTGAAGAGTAAATATTTAATCTTGATTAAGTCCAATTTATTATTTTTTCTCCCATGGTTTATGCTTTTTGTGTTATAAAGATTTGGTATTCTTCTGGAAGATTTATAATTTTAGTTTTACATATGGAACCATAATCCATTTTGAGTAATTTTTATATGTGGTGTGAGTTAAGGGTTGTGGTTCATTATTTACATGAGGACATTTGACTGTTCCAGCACAATTTGTTGAAGACTATTCTTTTCTCACTCTGACACTTGTTGAAAATCAACAACCATACAACTTACACTATTTACAAAGAAATAAGGAGAAAAAGTATAGTGTAATAACATACCAGAGATACCATGGCCCAACCAGTCTTGTTATAGATGAATTCCAAGTTGTTCCTTCTTAAATAGAGCAAACCGCCAACAAGTGACACTAACAGGGCCAAAGCAATGGTGCCAGAATAGTTGGGTGGTCTGAAGACTCGAATCTGCAAACATGCAATGAAAATTTTAAGAGCTGAATAGAGTAAAAGTGTTTTTCTCTTGACCATATTCCAGTCCTTCCAATTTTCAACTCCAAAACTTTAAAAAGGTGCCACCCTACTTTTCATTTGTGGAACTAACACTCCTTTTACCCTTTACAAATCAGAAACAAATGGCTTCCAACATCATGGCTGTGTAAAAAGACCTGCTTTAGGTGAACGGTTACTATACATACACATTATTTATATTTAACCCAGAACTGCTGTGTTTCACCTATGAAACATGGGATCATCTAGTACAGGGGGAGGAAATAGGGGTGTAATATATTTATTATTCCAAATTGGGACATTTTAACATCTTTAACATTTTTTAACATCTTTACTGACATATAATACACACACCATACAATTCACCTGGTGTACAATTCAGTGGTTTTTCTATTCACAGGGTTATCAAATAACTTAAAGTGTAGGTATGATCAATAGATTAGAATCATTTCTGATGAAAATTCAGTAACCCTTATAAAGAATTAATAGTAGTTTTTCAGTATTACCCTTAGTATCTTGTATGAACTAAATGATACTGTTGCAGAACTGAATATTTGCCAAAAGGTTAAAAAAAAAAAAAAGATGACAAGAGTTAACAGTGATGAGAGACACCCATCTTGACCAAGAATGTGTTTATACCTTATGGTAAAATTACATATTCTAGAATAAATGTACTTTAAAATTACTGGTTATAATTGTTCACTATAGAAAATTCTGGTGAGATGAAGGAATAAAGCAGCCTTAAGCCCTCCACATAGACATTAACCACCATCAAGATTTCGGTTTGTTTACTTCCTCAATAAACTGTCTATATATATCTACACTCATATTTATGCTTTAAAACAAAATTCTAGATCATACTATAAATACTACTTTTCTAACCTATACCTTGAGCTTCTTTCTATGTCAAGAATACTTGTAGACCATTGTTGTCCATGCTACAGTACATGTAAGTAGTCTCCTATTTTTAGACATTTCACTTATTTCCAACTGTTTTCCATTATAATGAATGTTATTTAACAAATATTTCTATGGCTGAGTATTTGAATCATCCCTAATATATCCTTAGGTTAAACTTCTAGAAGTAGAATTATTAAAGCTCAATTACATAAAATACATTACACACACACAGAATTATTCTATAGTCCAAAGAACAGTATACATATTTTCTCACATGGTTCATGAAAAGTATTATATCATTTGTATTTGCCCAAAAGCTAAATAAAAATTACACATCTTTTTTATGTTAATCACCATACATTACATCATTAGTTTTTGATGTAGTGTTCCATGATTCATTGTTTGCGCATAACACCCAGTGCTCCATGCAGAACGTACCCTCTTTAATACCCATCACCGGGCTAACCCATCCCCCCACCCCCTCCCCTCTAGAACCCTCAGTTTGTTTCTCAGAGTCCATAGTCTCTCGTGGTTCATCTCCCCCCTCCGATTCCCCCCCTTCATTTTTCCCTTCCAACTATCTTCTTTTTTTTTTTTTTTTAACACATAAGGTATTATTTGTTTCAGAGGTACAGGCCTGTGATTCAACAGTCTTACACAATTCACAGTGCTCACTATAGCACATACTCTAGAATTTCTTTACTAATACCTTTGAACAATATTCCATATATATTTTAGCTTCTGAAATTACTTTGTGCCCAACTCGTGTACTTTTTAGTGGTTCTTAAAATATCAATGTACCATTACTCTAAAAACCATTTAAATTCACCTAACTCAGTCAAAATTCAGCTTACGGCTATCACACGGTTTTCTCTAAGCAAGGAAAAATGTTCTATAGAGTTAACTTTAAGAATCCTGTGGCCTTACTACAGTGTTATAACAAACCAAACTAATTAGTTTATTATTAAAACTGTGAGGAATTGGGGCGCCTGGGTGGCTCAGATGGTTAAGCGTCTGCCTTTGGCTCAGGTCATGATCCCAGGGTCCTGGGATCGAGTCCCGCATCGGGCTCCCTGCTCCTTGGGAGCCTGCTTCTCCCTCTGCTTCTCTCTCGTATCTCTGTGTCTCAGATGAATAAATAAAATCTTTAAAAAAAACAAAAAACTATGAGGAATAAAAACATACATGAACATCCGTTCTGTCAGCAATCCACTTTGCGAGTTGTTCAGCTGCAAATCCAATTCTTTGAAGGTCAAAAGTATCAGCTCTTTTGGGTCTGCCTTTTGGAGGAAAATGCATGAACGTAGGAGCAGAATTCATGTTGAGCTGTAAAACATAAGATAAAAAATACTAAATACAATATCCCAGCAATCTTTATATCTCATTAATCTAACATTTTATGGTTTTTCCTGCATGAATTTTAAAAAGATAGCATATATTATGAAAATCTAAGTGGCTTTCCAGAGCTTAATTATTGTTCTTATTCATTGTAATATGCTATTGACTGAAAAAGAACTTGTGAATTTGGCTAAATTCTCAGAACCTTCACATACAACATTACAATTTCACTTAAGCAGTTATTAAAGAAAAAGTACTGGCACTTGTTGAAAAAAATGCATAAAAGCATTAATGTCAAATTATTAAATTCTCCATTAAAAATTTGAAGACTTTTTAAAAATGATGATTATACCAGAAACCAACATTTTTGTTCTAAACAACCTGAATTTACCAGACTACAGGAGAAATCCACAATGATCATCTTTTTCTGTTCAATTTCTCTATTAATTCAAGTGTCTTAAAATGATTATATCTCACAATTATTTTCTAAAGGTAATTCCATTTGAAAAGTGCATTGAATAGAAGACTTTTTTTTTTTTTTTTTAAAGATTTTATTTATTTATTCATGAGAGACGGAGAGAGAGAGAGAAGCAGAGGGAGAAGCAGGCTCCCAAGGAGCAGGGAGCCCGATGCGGGACTCGATCCCAGGACCCTGGGATCATGACCTGAGCCGAAGGCAGACGCTTAACCATCTGAGCCACCCAGGCGCCCCGAAGACTACTTTTAATATAAATGGTGCTTATTAAGAATATAATACCTAAAACAAATGTTAGGTTAATTTGCATTGAATAGCAAACTACAAAAATTATATAAATTCTCACTGCTCAGGAATATGAAAAATGTCTCAAATAAAAGGCCACTAGATTTTTGGCCTTGACTTGCAATATAGTTCAGCATTTCCCAATAGTGAGAATGAAAAGCAAAATCAAAGCAAAAATTGTCATTGCAGCTGACATCAAAGTAAAGATGCAGCAGTACCAACAGTGGGCTTGCACGTTATGGACATTTAGTAAGGCTGGTTAAAGAGCACAAAACACACAGTCACCAGTTGCTTTCTTCTCTGTGCTTTTTCCCATGCTAGACTTTGTTCGTGTGTGTTTCCACGGTGGATGCATGAGAGATAACTAGAGCCAACACGTAAGTAACATACTACAAGTGAAAACTCTCTGCGTTGGAACAATCAAAAAATTCCTACTAAGGTTTAAGATCTAAAAATCTTAGAGTTTAAAAAAAAACCATGTAATTCAAAGCTTTCATCATCATTAAAATGTACAAATTCCCCAAGGCTACACAAAGCAGGGTACAACGCAGATCTTATTGCTAGTCCAGACCTGCTTCTAACACAGCACAATCATTAACTGGTTGGTCTGTCATCATTCACTTAGCCTCAACCATTGCATGGGAATCATATATAACTGAAGTTACTTTCCCAACAAGTCCCAAGTAAATCAGGAATTACCAAGTTTTGGCATCCATATTAATATTATCTTCAGACAGCACAATGTTTTAAAATGGCAGTTTAGAAAGAGCACTTCAACAAAATGTGGTTCAATAGTTAGTGAGAAAAGAAACCTAGCATTAAAAATCTTTTAGTTCTCAATAATGCAAAATATGTACTTCCCTGTTTTTGTACATTATAATTCCACATAAAAGCCACTAACTGTTACTTTTATGCATTTTAAAATAACTCTTATTGCTAAGCCAGGGGCTAGGTTTTAGAAAAGACAAAGCAGTTCTATATTCAGAATTCTGCTGAATCAAAATTAACCTGAGGAAATTTTTCAACTAAAAACAATCTTGATGTCAACTTTCATATCTATGTCAAACTTAAAAAAAAAAAAACTTATGTCTAAAGCATACAAAAGAAATCAATGATTCTAACAATATATCTATATGGTTATATACTGGCAGCCTATACAGTCGGTATTCAGCACAATTTGAATTAGTTGCTCACATTTTAAAGATAGAAAAATTTCATATAAAAATTCATATTTGGGTTTCTCCTTGAAAAAAACAGCTCTAGCTACATGTGGCCTGCATTTAGTAAACACAGCTGGACCAAGCTGTATCCCTGAGGTCAAGTTTGTCTGCTCCAGTTTGCTGCAGTCCTCATGCACACCATACCGGTTCCTCAACAACGAGATCAACAGTCAGCTCCACACTGTTTTGCTGATTTTATTTCTTACAGTAGTTAGGAGAAAAATGAAATAGTATTTCCACTAAAGATTTATTTTATAAAAAAAGACCCAGAAAGACTTTGTTTTATGAAAATAGGAGAGAACATATGTAATTATACAAGAACTAATGTGTTTAACATATTAAGAATGTACATAAATAAAGATACCATAATGCAACTAAACTAATCCAATCTGCTTTCTTCATTTAGTTTACAAGCCTGGCCAGGATAGATATTTGGGCCTGAAGCCTCTGCTCTAGCGGTCAGATTGGACCTGGACAGCTATTCCCTAATATGGCAGAGAGGATTCAAGTGTATAATGAATAGCACTTCACCTGATGATCTCTAAGGTCAATTCTCCTGAGATTCCATGGAGACCTATAAATTACATGAAATAATATTTGGTTCTTATAGTACTATAATTTCCCTTTGTAAGGTTATTTGAAATTACAGATGGTCCCTGACTTATGATGGTTCAACTTGCAATTTTTTAACCTTACAATGGTGCCAAAGTGACACACATTCAGTAGAAACTGTACTTCACATTTTGAATATGGATCTTTTTGTGGGGTAGTGATACGCAATACAATACTCTCTAATGATGCTGACCAAGTGCAGCGAGCCACAGCTCTCGGTCAACCATGCGATCATGAAACAACTGATACACTGACAACCATTCTGTTTTTCACCTTCACTACCATATTCAATGAATCACAATGATATTCAATACTCTAATATGAAATAGGCTTTGTGTTAGATGATTCTGTCCAACTGTAGACTAATTTAAGTGTTCTGAGCACACTGAAGGTAGGGTAGGCTAAACTGATATTCAGTAGTTAGGAGTATTAAATGCATTTTTGACTTACAATATTTTCGACTTACAATGGCTTTATCAGGACATAACCCCAATGTAAGTCAAGGAAGATCTGTACATACACGTGTTTCTCACCAATCCATTCCTCCTACAGAGTAGACAATCAATAACATTTGCTGAATAGGTGAACAGAAAGAAACATCCCAAAAGGCAAAATAAATTTATAGGGGAAGAAATAAGTGAGGAATACTAACAGGAAAGACCAAGAATAAAGGGTACTGAAGGCAAAAAAAGAATTTCTTATTCAACTAGAAACTGGCATTCAAATAATCAATCTGGAAGCAAATAAGAAAAAATACTTACTAATGGCCCATTTATAATTAGTGAGCTAGATTCTTTACAGAACTAAATGCTTTTCCATGACCTCATAAAGTATAATGCCAAAGAATGTCACATGTGAGAAAAATAAAATAGACCAAACTAATCAATGCCATGTACTACAATAAATTTTACATTTGAAAGGCACTAATCACGTAGTGATAAATACAAAAATATTAGTAGCTGCAAGGTAACAGCATAACTAAGAACTAGAGCTCTGGGGAAAGACTACCGAGCTCAAACTCTAGCCCTATATTACACTAACTTTGTAAACTTAGAAAAGCAACCTCTCCACACTTTAATTTACTTATATGTAAAATAAAGATCACATTATTTTCCTCATTGGATCGTTGTGAAACTAAATGAAAGAATATACATTAAGCACTTCGAAGAGTGCTTGGATCATGAGCACTTAATGTTAGCAATGATGATGACACAACCATGACAAAATTGATGACAACTAGCATCCTTACGCTACAATTCATTATCTTGCTCTACAGAGAAGACTGTGTAAATGAGAATGTGTTAGTCTGCTCCGGTTACTATAACAGAATACCACGGACTGGGTGGCTTAAAAAACAGAAATTTGTTCTCACTGATATGAGCAATTCTTAATCTCAGGAAACAAACTGAGGGTTGCTGGAGTGGTGGGGGTGGGAGGGATGGGGTGGCTGGGTGACAGGCATTGGGGAGGGTATGTGCTATGGTGAGCGCTGTGAATTGTGTGTAAGACTCTTGAATCACAGACCTGCACCTCTGAAACAAATAATACATTATGTGTTAAAAAAAAAAAAGAAGATAGTAGGAAGGGAAAAATGAAGGGGGAGAATCGGAGGGGGGGACAAACCATGAGAGACGATGGACTCTGAGAAACAAACTGAGGGTTCCAGAGGGGAGGGGGGTGGGGGGATGGGTTAGCCCAGTGATGGGTATTAAAGAGGGTACGTTCTGCATGGAGCACTGGGTGTTATACACAAACAATGAATCATGGAACACTACATCAAAAACTAATGATGTAATGTATGGTGATTAACATAACATAATAAAAAAAATAGAAATCTGTTGTCTCACAGTTCTGGAAGCTAGAGGTCCAAGATCAAGATGCCAGTAGAACTGGTCTCTGATGAGTCCTGGTTTGCTGATTTGCAGACGGTCGTCTTCTTGCAGTGTCCTTACATGACCTTTTCTCTGTGCACATACTCTCTGCTGGTTCTTATAAGGACACCAGTCTATTGGATTAGGGTCCCATTCTACGATCTCATTTAACCTTAATTATCCCTTATAGGCCCTTGCTCCAAATACAGTTACTTCTAGGTTATGGCTTCAACATATGAGTTTGGGAGGCACACAATTCAGTCAATAGGAATACTTTTAAATAAATATTTATTACTTTACATGTAAAATTCTCTCTATCTGTCACATTGGAAAAAGTGAAGGTTAAGTAAAAATTACGTTGAATTTATATAAATTTTCATAAATTTGTATATCACCTAAACCCAATACAGTTAAACGTCAAAATAAGGATAATGTAAACTACCACTATACACTTGAAAAAATATATTTCCTCGGGGCACCTGGGTGGCTCAGTTGTTAAGCGTCTGCCTTCGGGTCAGGTCATGATCCCAGGGTCCTGGGATCGAGCCCCGCATCGGGCTTCCTGCTTCTCCCTCTCCCACTCCCCCTGCTTGTGTTCCCTCTCTCACTGCCCCTCTCTGTCAAATAAATAAATAAAATCTTTAAAAAATATATATCTATTTCCTCTATAATGGAAAAGTTAAAATGTGTTTAGCATACTAATAGCAAAAACTGTGCAATGATAAAGTTAACATTGGCTAAAATTATTTTAATCACATCACAGAATTTATTATAACTACTTGTCTTTATTAACTTATTCAATGAATTGTATTTTTATTTGACCGACAAAAACGTACCATAACCAACTCTATTAAGTTTATTAGCAAAATAATACCTGTTGAAAAACATCTGTCCCCTCATCATAGTCCACCATACTGAAGAAGAGTTTGTTGCAAAAGGCAGATGAGTAGCGCCAGGAGTTAGCCAGTATTTGATATTCTTCATTAGCTTGCCTGATAAGGAGAATGGGGCAGAGTAAAAACATATCAGTACTCAAGCATTAACAAAGCTATTAATAACAGGTAATTCCAACACCAGGGTTGGCTAATTTCTGCACAGACTGCAAGCACTGATTTTATATTTTTACATGATTGTAACAAAATAGGAGAAATATTCCATCACATGTGAAAATTATTTAAGATTCGTATCATGTTGTTTATAAAGCTTTACGGCACCTCAGCCACACTGATTCATTTGTGTTGCGATGACTGCTATTGTACTATACACGGGCAGAGCTGAATAGTTGTAATGGAAAGCATGTGGGCCAAAAAGTGTGTGGCATGGCACTTTAAATAATTGACAATTCTTATTCTAGGGTTTGTGGCATCCCCTATACATAAAATTTAAATCTTCAGATGATTTTTATGTAAAGGACATAAAGCAATTTTTAAGAATATGGGCAATTCAGTTTAACAGAACAAAAATCATAGGCATTTTTTTACATTGTGAACGCAGTTATACTGCATCTTTTATATATTCCATTTATCTAAAAGTGCATTTACATTCAAAATTACTAATTAGCAAAAGTAAGTAAAAATTTTCCTGGTAGTTAAACCAAATGTCACAAATAAGCCCTCTTCTATGAACATTATCCACTCCTATTTTGAATTAATTTCTAGTGGACATTTTGTTGATTTTCCAAATAATAAAGCTTTATTTAAGTGTAGGGTTGGAGTAGAAACAGAGACATGGCATTGCTAGAAGGCTGTAAGTACAGTCATAGAAACAAGAAGCAACAAGTGATCATTAAAACATGTTTTTATAAAGTGTGTTACCTCCACATAATTGAGAAAGGAGTCTATCTCCTCCCTCTCCCAAAATGGAAGAGATAAAAATGTATAATCTCATAATAACACAAAGACTTGGAGTAGTCAGCAGCAAATAAGAGATTTCAAGAAATACCTGGAAAACAGAAAGCTAGTGGAAAAGTTTTGATGGAGGAAGGTACAACACAAAAGGAGATTGCACTGCAGGAAAGAGGAAAAATGCTGGATTAAGAAGCAGCAGAGTCTGGAGATAAGAAATGGAACTCAGAGATCATAATTCAATTTCTTTATATGGGATAGAAGACCCAAACTCCTGCCCCACTCCCAACCAGTTCCTATGTGAGTCTTTCTATACCTAAGTGACTGGACTATTAAAAAAAAAAAAATCACTTTATGTGACTGAGAAAAACCCAACATGATTAAAGAAAAAAAAAAATCCCAAACAAAACAGACTCCAGAAGAAACATAATTCAAAGAAGTACAAAAACATTAAGAAGAAACTTTAATATACTCAGAAAAAGAGGAATTTGTCAAGAACTGTGCAGGGTATGAGATTTTATCTTATACAAGCTAACAAGCTACCCTGTTACTGTTTCATGGAGGCTGGCAGAAAAGATGAGACTGCTGGGTCAGAGACAGAGGACTTTATTACTTCATGTTCATTCACATCAGTTCCCCCTGCCCCCAAGTCTCACGGGTGACACAAAGTGTCCTTCGTGAATGCCAGCACACACAGTTAACTGTGTTAAAGGAGAACACCGAGGTTGAGGCACTTACTGTTTTTATAATAAGTGAGAAGAACCCTGTGCTTTGTTCAGTGGGAGACATTATTTCATTCCTTAAGGCTTCTCACTGCACACACAGCCCTGAGACACTGCCCAGGTAAAGAGCAATCAGGCCTCTGCCTTCTTGGCATAACCAGTCAGAACATGCACGGATGCTCAAGGCCCACGATAGCCTGCTTCTTCCAATAGTATTCACACACACACACACACACACACACACCAATATCATAGAAAAAAGGAACAAAGTAAAAGAGAGCACTTAAAATTTAAAATATGATTGTTCAAATTAAATACCAGTATTAGAAGGTAGTGTTAAATAAAAATCACAGAATAAAAAATTCACAGGTGGACTATACTGGAAAAAAAGAGAGAGAAAGGGACCTAGAGATATAATCCAAAAATTCCAAATTTCAGAGGAGACCCAGAAATACAAGAGAGAGAGAATGGAGGAAATATTTCTGGAGACAGATTTAAAGGAGACTAAGTCTTCAAATTAAAATTATTTCCCAGGTTCTAAGTAAGAAAAACAAGAAAAGACCAACACCAGACATACTGTGATATTCTAGATTATAGACAAAAAGAAGGTCAGAGAAAAAATATGTCACAATGACAAATGATGAGATTGGGACTGGAATAGTAATTACCAACACTAGATATTGGCAGATAATTGAACAATTCCTTCAGGGTTTTGAGAGCATGTTATTTTCAATGTAGAATTCTGTATCAAGCCAAACAATTAAGTTTGAAATAAACATATTCTCAGAAATGTAAGGAATGTGAAATTACCTTAGGATATAACTGAAAGGTAATATGAATGAAAAAAATGAGAAAACTTGAGAGTATGATAGAAACGCTGTAAGAAAGGGAAAAGGGCAACTAGAATTATGGTTAAGGTAGGCAGGGTAGAAGATGTGTAAGAAAACTGTGATCCACCTAAGAAGCTATAAAGTACAAATTAGAACAGAAATTTAATTGGACTTTAAGATAAAAAGATTCTAAGCAATCATTAGAATCAGTAGAAGTTTGAAGATATTAAGACCATAGTATGTAAGACATATTTGGTCCAGGAAAAACTACAAGAAAATGAATATATACGATGCAAATTAAAATGTATCATAATTTTAATTGGAAATGAGGAAGGTTCATTACTTTGAACAGTATGGAATGTAAATGCTATCAACCCTTGATGATGTAAAAGTACAATTAACAGGATTTGGTGGGTAAAAGGGAAGGGGAAGAGGTGAGAAGAGGGGGCGTGCTTACTAATCTTCATGTGACCAAATAGGGAATCAAGAGAGGTCATCTATAGTTAATGCACAAGAAATAGAAGGATGCTATTTACTGTTACAATAATAAAAGAAGAACTAGGAAGCTATAAAAATAAGGAGAGATGAAGTAAATCCTTACATCAAGTCTGCTTTATGAAATACTGTTATAAAAATAATATTTAGAAATATCAAGAAAAAAATCACTAGAGGAAGAAAATAAAAAGGAATAATAGTGATTGCCTATGGCCAAGTATACACATAGATGAGTGTAAAGGCTAGGGAGTGTAGTTGTTCATTTTAGGCTTTTTAAATTAACAAAGAGCACATAATATTGCTGTGATTAAAATATATATATTTAAAAGGGTTAAATACGAACAGGGCTATAATCTGAGGTCACTTAGCATAAAGACCTTAACGGCATCATTTTATTGGACCATAGTACAAAAACAGATCATTGTAAGGATCAGCTTAAGACTGCACTGCGCTCAGTAGGCAGAACATGTTCAATGAAAATGATCACAATCTTTTAAAGCTTTGGTGGTTGAATAAGATTTAATTTACTATAATTCACTGAAAAACTATTTATTGAGCACTTAATAGCTAAGTGAGCTAATTTCTAAGGTCTCTGCTCTCATGAAGTTGATATTTTAGTGGAGAGACATATAATAAACAACCAAATATGTAATTAAAATCCACAATACACACTGAGAAAATAATAGAGAGAATGGTATTACAGAAAATAATGGAGGATCTATGTACATGGAATGTCAAGAAAGGTTTCTCAGATAAAATGACTCTAAAGCTCAAATCCCAAGGATGAGAAAAACACAACACTGAAAGAAGCTAGAGAATAAATATTTCAGGTAGCAGGAAAAGCAAGCACAAAGGCCTAAGGAGGGAAAGAACTTAAGATGCTGGTAAAATGAAGCTGTGACATAAATGAGAACATGCTCTCTGTATTAGAGGAATACATAGAGAATACAGAGCTTATGCCCTCCCTCATCTATTTAAAACAGTGCCTCACTGCTACAATAAAAACAGTAAAAACCAGCATAAGTCCTAAAATCTGATTTGATTTTTGTCATATGGAATATAATACTGGTAAGTATTCATCATTGATTTTTAAAGAAGCACTTCACACAGTAAATTGGCACCAACAATTAAGTAGGTCTGAACATCTTTGCACACTAACAGACCTCAATAGAACAATGCTACCTTTAGAAAAAATCATTAAACAGATTAACATCACAATTTAAAAAAACCAGTATATTTTTCCACAAAAGAACATTTTAACTTCAAAAAACTGAAACTGAGGGAAATAGCAAATCAGCAAAAGCTGGCATTCTTGTGACAATGATATTCTAAGAAATGAAAATGCTTCATTCTGAAAAATATGCAAGAAGAAAACAATCAAATTTTAGTATTCAACATCTATGTATAGTATCTTATAGAATGATGTAGCATAGGAATAATGTTGAATTTCTTTCCCTCATAATGCTGTAACATAGCCCAGACCTACTAGAATCTACTAAATATACATTCATGCATTCATTCACTATACAAATATACATTAGTGCTGCCAAAAATTAAAAAAGAGCAAGGGCTCTGATCTTAAGGACAATACAGTCCAGTGAGAAAGAGAGGCCCCATACAAGTATATACAACATTTCAGATAATCATAAGTACTCTGAAGAAAGTAAAACAAGAATATGTGACAAAGAGTATTGAGGAGTCAAAGAGGATGGTGGTCTTGGGAAGAAGAAAAAAGAAATATTTTAAGTCTATTTACCATCACAAATACATGCTATTTGCCAAAGGAATACTAGGCATGATTTGAAAGGTTATAATGACTAAATCATCAATCTAACATCATCTAATATAATGACTAAGTCATCATCTAACATCTAACATCATCTAAAGCATCATCTAACATAATTCATAATGTCAATTTCATATGCAAATATGGAACCCAGAACTTAACGATGTTTTTTCAGCATTTTAATATGTGCTACAATAATAAAGTAGAACTCACAATCTCCACCTTTAAGAAAAATGAATAGAAATGCACTAATGCATAAATAAGATACATACACAGTTGACCCCTGAACAACATGGGATTGAACTGCAAAGGTCC